GCCAGGACCCCTTCGGGGCGACCAGCGCGCGTCGCGGGGACTCCGTGCGGCGCCGCGCCCACAGCCTTGGACGTGGGCGTGCACGGGCAAAGAGGGAGAAGGAGAACGGGAAGGAAGCGGGCGCGATCCTCGTGAGAGGCGTGCCGACATGGGCGTCGACACTAATGCACGTAGACTCACGCGCGCAGACCCATCCACAATCAGATTCACTCGCTCTCAATCTCTCGCACACAGACGTATCGTCGTCGCTCGCATTGTGTGCCCCGCCACGCATGTCGGCACGCCCCTCACACGGTTCGTGGCCCCATAGGGAGCGCGGGCGAGGATGATATTCATAATTGCCTTATTCACAACTGCATATGGTTGTGTCCTTCGCCAGGCTAATTGTTCTACCTTGGCCAGTCTCGCGCAAGTATCATGGAAGTTTTGGGTGGTATCAGGTAGGTAGCAGCGGCCTGGTTGGACAGGCGCATTGCAGCGCCCGCGCGACAAAAGTTACATTGGACTGTGGCTTAGGAGCAAGAGTCTGGCGTAATGTTCAAGTGGTTGTGGCTTCGGGGGCGCGAGTCTGATGTAATGTGCAATGGATTGTGGTTTCGGGGGTGCGAGCGCGATTTCAGGGATTTGCAAAGGGTTATGGCCTCGGGGTGTGCGTCAATTACGGATCACGTGTCCCATGCCCCCCCCTTTTTTTCGGAATTCTGGGAACCCCAGAGCGGGGGCGGACAAAAGGTTTTTTTTGCCCCCCGCCGGGAGAACACACTGCAACAGCGGAATAAGACCAGTAAGCCGAATAATTGTGGAACTTGGGATTGGCGATTGGACTTGCGACACCGCCACTTCGCAGCATGGTAGCCCCACAAAAGGGCCAGCGGATGTGTGAATCTACTTGTACATACATACATACGTGCAGTCAGATAGAGACAGACAGAGACAGACAGACAGACAGAGAGACATGCATGCATGCATGCGTGAGTGCATACATACATACATGTATACAGATAAATTTGTATATATGTCGGTGGTGCCCGTCGCACGAGCCCCCCTCATCCTGGGGCTTCCAGGGGGGTTCGTACCAGACGCAACAGGTGCCGCCGACGACCCAGAACCCCCTCCTTCACACTCTCCTGGGGTATGTCGTAACGAGCGCACTGGCGGAACCCTCCCCCTGTGGTAATGTGGCTGGGGGCTCCTGTGGGAGCGAAGTGGGCTCCAGTGGTGGTGGGAGTGGAGGCGTCCGGAACAGTGCGGAGGAGCGCGATGGGGAGGTATCTTGAGGAGTGGGGCTCGTCGCCACCCGTCGCCGCCGCCGCCGCCGCTGGGCCCCGCTGCCGGTCTGGCTGGCTTATGGCCGCCCGCCGACTCGCGACGCCGCCGCCCGTCGCCACGGGCCGCCCGTGCAACGAGATATCAATCGCATGGCATTGCAATCGCATTGCATTGCTTCGCATCGCTTCGCATTGTTTTGCATTGTTTCGCATCGCTCTGCATTGCTGTGCATTGCTTTGCATCTCTTCGCGTCGCGTTGTCTTGCTTCGCACTGCTTTATTCTTCTTCGCATTGCGTTGCATTGCTTTGCGTTGCTTTGTGTTGTTTTGTCTTGAGTTGCGTTGATTTGCGCTGCCTGGCATTGCTTTGCATGGCTTTGCATGGCTTCGTATTGGTTTGTATGGCGTCGCAACGCCTTGCATTGCTTCGTTGCTTTGCATCGCTTTGCATTGCTTTGCGTTGCTTTGCATTGCTTTGCATTGCTTTGCATTGCTTTGCATTGCATGGCTTGGCATGGCTTGGCATGGCTAGCTGTGCATTGATTTGCATTGGTTCGCATCGTTGTGCATTGCATAGCTCTGCATTGCGTTGCATGGCTTTGCATGGCTTTGCATGGCGTCGCGGTGCTTTGCGTTGAATCGCGTTGCTTTGCATTGTTTTGCATTGCTTTGCATTGCCTTGCATTGCTATGCATTACTTGGCATTGCTTCGCATTGCCTTGCGCTGCTTCCATTCGCAGTGCTTTGCATTGATTTGCATTGCTGAGCATTGGTTTGCATTGTTGTTGCGCCACGTTCATCGCACAACCTACATTGCAGCGCACATATTACAATAGCCAATGTTTTGGGCCCACGCTGGCTGGTGTTGGTCTATCCTCCAGGCATACAACTTGTCCTGGCGAAAGACCCAACCACATGCAGTTGTGAGTAGCGCGTTGTGCGTGCCGCTTTCGGTGGAGTTTCCTATATGGCCACGAAACGCGTGAGGGACGTGCCGTAATGGGTGGGGGGCGACGCATGCAGGCGGTGCCTATGGGGCCTTCGGTGGGGCTCCCTATGGGCCGCGAGACGCTGTACTGGGCGTGGCGGACACATGCGGGCGGTGCCCTTCGCTGGAGCTACCGATGAGGCCACGAAACGCTGTATTGATTGGGGGAGACGCACGCGGGCGGTGCCACTGGGGTCTTTCTGTGGAGCTCCCTACGGGGCCACGAAACGCTGACGCATGCGGGCGGTCCCACTGGGACCATAGGCGGAGTTCCCCATGGGGCCACGAAGCGCTGTACTGGGTGGTGACTGAAGCAAGCGGGCGGTCCCACTGGGACCCTCGGTGGAGCTTCCGATGGGGCTATGAAACGCTGTACTGGGTGGTGGTTGACGCATGCGGGCGGTGCCACTGGGGCCTTCGGTGGAGCCCTCCATGGGGCCACGAAGCGCTGTGCTGGGTGGTGGTTGACGCATGCGGGCGGTCCCACTAGGACCTTCGGTAGAGCTCCATGATGCCACCAAGCGTTCTTTTGGGTGGGCGAAACGCAGGGAGGAAGGGGCTGTGCTGGGTGGTGGTTGACGCATGCGGCTTGTCCCACTGGGACCTTCGGTTGAGCTCGAGGAAGGGCTGTGTTGGGTAGTGACTGGCGCATGCGGGCGGTCCCACAGGGACCTTCGGTGGAGCTCCTTATGAGGCCACGAGACGCTGTATTGGGTGGGTGAAACGCAGGGAGGAATGGCTGTGTTGGGTGGTGGTTGACGCATGCGGGCGGTCTCACTGGGATCTTCGGTGGAGCTCCCTATGGAGCCTCGAATCGTTGTACTGGGTGGGCGAAACGCAGGGAGAAAGGGCTGTGTTGGGTGGTGCTTGACGCATGCGGGCGGTCCCACTGGAACCTTCGGTTGAGCTCGAGGAAGGGCTGTGTTGGGTAGTGGTTGACGCATGCGGGCGGTTCCACAGGGACCTTCGGTGGAGCTCCCTATGAGGCCACGCAGCGCTGTACTGGGTGGGCGAAACGCAGGGAGGAAGGGCTGTGCTGGGCGGTGCTTCACGCATTCGGGCGGTCCCACTGGGACCTTCGGTGGGGCTCCCTATGGGGCCCCGCAACGCTGTACTTGGTGGGCGAAACGCATGGAGGAAGGGCTGTGCTGGGTGGTGGTTGACGCATGCGGCTTGTCCCACTGGGACCTTCGGTGAAGCTCGAGGAAGGGCTGTGTTGGGTGGTGGTTGACGCATGCGGGCGGTCTCACTGGGACTTTCTGTGGAGCTCCATATGGGGCCACGCAACGCTGTACTGGGTGGTTGAAACGCAGGGAGAAAGGGTCTGTGCTGGGTGGTGGTTGACGCATGCGGGCGGCCCAACTGGGACCTTCGGTGGAGCTCCCTATGGGGCCACGAGACGCTGTATTGGGTGGGTGAAACGCAGGGAGAAAGGGCTGTGCTGGGTGGTGGTTGACGCATGCGGGCGGTTGACGGGAGGAGGGAGGAGGGAGGGGACGAGGAGGAGGGAGGAACGCGGGGACTTTTTTTTCAAAACGAGGGCCCAACACAGGCTGGTTTGGGAACTATCGGTGCCATTTTCTATGTGTCGGTGTCCCTGCCACTGTATCTATCGATGTCACAACCAATGTTTTTGTTCCGCCTTTTATCGGGACAACCACGGGACGACCATACAACAAGCACAAGACAACCACGGAACAACCACATCGGGACAGCCACAGAACAGCAACGGGACAATCTTTCGATGTTCAGGGGAGAGCCACGGAACAACCACGAGACAAGCACGGAACAACGTCGGGAGAACCGCGGGACAACCGCGGGACAGACCAAAGCACAACCACAGCACAACCACGGGACAACCGAGTAGCAACCACAGCACAACAACGGGACAACCACCGGGGCAACCATCGGGACAACCATTGGGACAACCATTGGGACGACCATTGGGACGACCATCGGGACGACCATCGGGACAGAACATCGGGACAGACCATCGGGACAGCCCCGGAAACACCCCCGGGCGCACGCGGGACAGTCCCAGGCGTGCCCTGGAGGGCTGGGGCGCGACTCCTTCTGCCTGGGCCCAGCTTGTGGTGGGAGCTCGCTCGACGTGTACCAGATCCGAAACCGATCTCCCGGTGGGGAACCTCCGTTTCTTGTCGCTCCCACCCCCCCAACCTCCGACATGCATGTGCATACAATGCAAACATAGACACTCAAGCATAGTCTATATTGGAGGTGACGGGGTGAGGTCGCAAGATCGATAGCTAGGTCGATCGTGAGATCCAGAATGAGATAGATTGTGTGATCGATTGTGAGATCTACAGTGAGGTCGATAGCGTGATTGATTGTGAAATCAATGCTGAGATCAATTGTGAGATCGAAAGAGTGAGATCTATAATGAGATCGATAGTGGGAGGGGTAATGAGATCAATTTGAGATCGAGAGGGGTAGTGAGATACATAATGAAATCAATTGTGAGATCGATAGTGGGATATATATAGACAGTGAGATTGATAGTGAGATCGATAGGGAGATCGATCGTGAGATCGATTGTGAGATCGACCGGGTGAGACGTTGGTTCTTCCCACCCGAGCTTCCTTATCACCCGAAGAATGGTCGTATAGGTGTATCTACATATAGATATAGATATTCGAGGTTGTTCGGGCTCAAGAATTTTCAGGTTCAACAGCTACCCGTTTGCACGCCCAGTCACCTCATTCACGGGGCCAGATCCCAAGAAGGCACCCGCCAAGAAGATGGCCTCGTGTATGGAATACGCGTGCGGTGGCGACGTGAAGGCCATCGCGTATGGCCTGCTCGTGACGCTCATCCTGTCGGCGACGATGGTGGTGGCAGGCCTGAAGGCGGGCATCACCCCAGGCGTCAGCCCGCTGGTGGTGCTGTGTGGCTGGGGTGCCTTCCGGAAAGCGTCGAGGGGCCCTGCCGGATCGCGTTTCCTGAACCTCAGCCAGGTGGCCGGCTCCGCCGGCATGGCCATCGTTAGCGGGGTGATCTTCTCGGAGCCGCTGCTCCAGGTCATGCACCTGAACTTCGCGCAGGACGAGCTCGACAGCCTCGGCGTGGAGAAGAAGCTTGCGGAGATGCCGTGGGGCGAGGCCCAGAGGCTGATGGCGCAGTACCGCCTGTCTATCCCGGAGGTGGACGTGCCCGTGAACATCATGGCCTGCCTTGTGGGCTCGCTGATCGGCTGGGGCTTCGTCGGCCTCACCACGCGCAAGTTCCTCTCCGACCCGACCCTGCCAGCGCCAGAGGCGACGGCGTGCGTCTCGATGATCGAGGCCGCCGTGGCCGACAACGGCCACAGGCCTCCAGAGGAGGGAAAGTTGCCGATACCGCTACCCTCCCCTCGTTTGCGCCTTGTTGGGCATCCTGGGAGGACCTCGTCACCACGGCTGGAATCGCCCCGTTATCTAGGTCAGAACGCACCCCAGAAGAGGTCCGGGGAGCAGCGGCATCGGTACCTTTTTTGGTCCCCCCAGGCCCAGGCTCGACGTCTCCCTGGTGCTCAGCATCGTCGGCAGCTTTGTCACGCGGGTGCTGGCGCTCCTGTCGCTGGCCTCGAGCTCCATCCTCGTGTGGTCCCGGCAGGGCGCACGCGGCGCCGCCTTCGAGCTGCTGGTGCCCTTTGACAGCGGCGCGCTCTACCTCGGCATCGGCGCCCTGCTCACGGTGCCCACCGCGCTGCTGACCTTCACCGGCTCCTTCGTGCGCCTGGTCGGGGACTTCCTGCTGGCCGGCGTCGAGCCCGGCACGGGCCTGGCGGCGAGGATGCCGGCCAACTCGATGCGTTGGGTCGGCGGCGGTGCCATGACGGTCGCCGTGGTCTACAGCCTCGGCAGGTTCCTGTGCGCGGGCCTGCTCCGCAGGCCGCGTGCGGCGCAGCGCGCTGGCGACGTCGAGGCGAGCGCCGACGCGGACTCGCTGCTCGACATCGGGCCCCGCAACGCGAAGGTGCTGGCGGGCGCCGTCGCGGTCGGCGCCCTCGGCTTGGCCCTCTGGCTCTTCGCCACGGAGGGCTTCAGCGCCTTCAGCGTCTTGATGGTCGTGGCGATCCTGGTGATGGCATCGCTGATGGTGCCGCTGGGCGCCATACTGTCGCTGCAGATCGGCGGCTCCTGCTCTCCGGTGTCTGGTACTGTGTTCGTGACCACGCTGGTGTTGTGCTTGGTGGCCCTTGCGACTGGCCAGCGGGATGTGGGCGCAGTGCCAACTATCACGACGCTGCTAGTTGCGGCCTGCGTGGCCGTCTGCTCTGCCAACGACGTGAGCCAGGACTACAAGACCCTGCAGCTGTGCGGCGTCGCCCCGCGCGAGGGCTTCCTGGCCCAGATCCTGGGCCTGCTGGTCGGCTCCATAGTGGTGCCCCTGTCCCTCTACGTCGCCGACAGCGCCTACGGCCTCGGCACCGATGCGCTGCCGGCGCCGCAGGGCAAGATGTTCGCCACCCTGGTGCAGGGGCTGCTGATCGAGGAGGCGCTGCCCTGGTACCCCATCCTCATCGGCGTAGGCGTGGGCGCCTGCGCAGTGGTCCTCGACTACGTCGGCGGCCGCCTCGGTGTGCAGATGCCCGCTATGTCCATCCCCGTCGGCCTGTACCTGGGCGCGGACACAGGAATCGGCATCCTCATCGGGTCCGCCTTCCGCTTCGTGGGCGAGCGCATGCGCGAGCGCACCACGGGCGTGCCGAGCTCGCAGACGCACGAGTGCATCCTGGCCGCGGCGGGCATGATCACCGGCGGCGCTTTCCTGGACCTCATCCTGGGCATCGCGATCCTCTTCGGCTTCGACCCCGCGACCCTCAGCGTGTTCTCGAGCAGCGGCGCCGACGGCAAGCTCGACATGCCGCTGGCCCTCTCCGACTCCCTCTCGGTGCTCGGCCTCCTGTTCTTGGGCTGGGTGCTGCTGCACAACTCCCTCCACGGCAGCGGGGACGGGGAGGGGCCGCACTGCAAGGGGGGCAAGGCCTCGTGCAGCGAGGAGGCGTCCACTGCGTCGTCGCCCTCCGACGCCCGCGTGGCCATCTGAGGATCGATGTCCCCCTCGCGGGGCTCGTGCGGCGTACGCGGTGGTTGTGATGAGTGGTGTCGGGGGCTCTGTCTGGCGATCTGCCCATGTTTCGCGCAGGTGTATTCTGACTGCGAATTCATTTTTTCTGGGCCTGGCAACAGTTCGGGCTGGCGTATCTTTGCGAATTCGTTTCCCTCGGCCTGGCAACAGTTCGCGCCGATGAATGTCCAAGAACTCAAACAGCGGAGTGGACGTCGAAGCAGTGGCAGGAGCTTTTCTTGTATCAGCATCGTCAATGTAACGGTTCCCTTGACCGCATTCAGAGAAGGTCAGTGGGTCCGCGTAGGTCTGAATGTAGAACCGCACAAGACATTTCCACGCCAGGCCACTACTGGGGCCCACAGTCGTCAGCGACTGCAGAAGAGCAGTCGCCTCTGCCTGTACAGACAGGACACGCAGAATAACCGCACATGATTGCCCAACAACCAGCACGGATGGAGGGCGCGCCGTTTTCAAATTGGGGCTTTCGAGTGGAACGTCTTTTTTGTCTTTGTGGTACGAATCAGATGCCCAGAAGCACCCCACGGATGCAGGGCACGCTGTCCTGCAAGGAGGCTTTCGTTTGCCACGTGAACCGTGCGACCCTGCAAGTTGACCGCCATGACAGCTACACGCACGGAGGGCGTCTCCTTCTCGGCCGCGGGCGTCCAGCCAGAACGGCAGCAGACCCATGGGGCTGCCGGGGCTCCTGGTCGTCCTTCCAGGGGGGGGCTCCTTAGTGGAGCAGGGATTGGTCAGGGCTTTGGGGGGCGGGAATTTGGGACGGGAGGGTGTATCGCAGCGTCGTCGATGCACCCTGGATGTGCTCGGGGCCTCTGCCTCCCTCTCTCCCTCTCTCCAAGAGTCTTCGCCGCGACGTGGCCGAGGGCGCATCCTGGCTAGAATCTCGAGGCGTGGCGACGTGGGTGCCCCGGGAGACCCCGCGAGGATTTAAAGCGCCAGCGAGCGACTCCTCTCCGCCGACCGACAAGGCGGAGGCCGAGATCTGTCGGCGGAGGAGAGGAGGAGGGGAGGAGGAGGAGGAGGAGGAGGAGGAGGAGGAGGAGGAGGAGGAGACGCGGGGACTGTCTCTTCACAACGAGGACCTAAACCACAGGATGGTTGGAACACCTAATGCTCGACGTCGGCAGTGCTCTCGCGCCAGTCTCCGCTGTTCCTCGCTCGTCGCCTCCCCCGCCGACGACGACGATGATCAACGACCGCGACGATGGCGGCGACGGCGACGACAAGGGCGACGGCCAGGCGACGGCGACGACACCGCCGCCGCCTTCGCCTTCGCCGCCGCCTTCGCCTTCACCGCCGCCGCCGCCGCCGCCGCCGCCACCGTCGGTGTCGTCGTCGTCGTCGTCGTCCTCCTCGTTCTCGTCCTCGTCCTCGTCCTCGTCGTCATCGTCGAAGCCGAAGTCGACGTCGATGTCGAAGCCGGCGCCGACGGCTCTGATAACCACCGATGGCGCCGACGGAGGCGCTCGAGCTCGGGGGCGCCCCTGTCAGCGACCTCGCCGAGGACGACGCGGCCCTCGGCCTCGGGCCCGACCCGGGCTTCCGGCGCCTGCTCACGGAGGACCCCTTCGCTTCTCCTCCTCCTCCTCCTCCTCCTCGTCCTCGTCCTCCTCCTCCTCCTCTTTCTCCCCTTCCCCCTCCTCCTCCCCCTCCTCCTCCTCCTCCTCCTCTTCCTCCTCCTCTCTCCTCCTCCTCCTCCTCCTCCTCCTCCTCCTCCTCTACTCCGTCTCCTGCTCCTCATCCTTCTCGTATGTCCTCTTCTCTCCTCCTCCGCCTCCTCTTCCTCCTCTTCCTCCTCCTACAGCTTCTCCTCCTCCTCCTCCACTATTCTCTTTTGTCCACTCTAGTTCTCCTCCTCCTCCTCCTCCTCCTCTCCTCCTCATCATCATCATCCTCATCATCCTCATCCTCATCCTGCTCCTCCTCCTCCTCCTCCCTCCTCCTCCTCCTCCTCCCCCTTCTCCCCCTGCCGCTCCTCCTCTTTGCTTGCCCCTCGTCATTCCGCTCCTTCTCTCCTCTCTCCTCTCTCCTCCTCCTCCTCCTCCTCTCCTCCTCCTCCTCCTCCTCCTCCTCCTCCTCCTCCTCCTCCTCCTCCTCCTCCTCCTCCTCCTCCTCCTGCTCCCTCTCCTCTCTCCTCCCCCTCCTCCGCTCTGCTCCCCTCCCCCTCCGCCTGCCCCGCAGCTAGCATTCGTGACTCGCCCGGCCTGTCCTGGGCTCGAGGGCTGCGTGGCCCGCCCCGCGCAGCACGTGCTCCGACTCTGCCGCCAGGCCGGGCGCGGGGCCGCAGCTGCGGCGGGCTCCCTCGTTCGACTAGACGTACGAGTGACCCTTCGCCGGAGTGACCTTTGGTGCGGGCTCATCGGGGTTCCCACGATCGTTGAGCCCGATGCGATAGCAGCCGATTGCGCGCTTGGATTTGGCCATCTTGCGCCCCCGTAGTCCGCGCACCAAAGGTCACTCGTGTCTAGGGTCACTCTTGCGTGTCGCCGACTCGTCGCCGCGTCGGCGTCGGCACAGTGGTCAAGCGTCGTCAGTCAGGCGATCGCAAACATGGACCAAGGGGGCGTGGATTACGGTGGAGGCGGTTGTTAAGGAATAGTCCTAGGAGGCAGACCCTGGAGGATTCCGTATCCGATGAGGGCGGCGGTGGTATCCATGGCCGATCCACGATTGGAATGCCACTGGCCCTCCAGGCCATGGATTCCTTATCTAAGTATTCCTTATCCAGTGCCCACACCGTGGCGACGGGCCCCGTTTCCACGGCAACTCGCGGATTTCCGCCGCCGAGCGAGGCGGCACCGGCCGCCTTTTGGGGAGGGCGCCCTCCCCCGATCCATGAATTTGGCGACCGCGCGCTAGATCCATGGATTACTAATCCATGTCTGCGCGCCCCGAGTCAGGAACAGGCTGAGCTTGGGTATTGCAAGTGGCGCAAGCAGGACGCCACAGGCCTGCCGTGGTTCCATGCTGGGGAAGGTCTACTGCAAACGTTGCCAGGTGCAGAATCCGACTGCTTCATAGAGAGCAATTGCGAGGCCAAGCCCAACGCTTCGGCCAAGCAGCAGACGGCAAAAGGCAAGGAGTTGGAGGCCCAACGCAAGCGTCTCCGAGAGCACCCTCCGAAACCTCCAGGGACAAGCGTCCCTCCCCCTTAGGCATCGCAGGCGAACGGCGACAGCGTCAAGAGATAACGCATCAAGACGCTCGACCAGCTGCTGCGAGGTACTACTGATCCCGTGGATGCAGATGACGTGGCCAAGTGGCGCGCGGAGCGTGCTCGCCTCGAGTCGGAGCTCTTCCAGGACCGCCCGATCGAGGACCAGGTCAGGTCTCTGGCGTCCAGACTGCCGGCTGCCCGAACCAGGCAAGCCAAGATCCAGTCTGCACCTGCCGAGCAGCAGCGAAATCTTGGCGAGCTCGTCCGGCGGCCTGGCTGAGATCGACGTCGAGCTACAAGAGTCTACCACCGAGGTGCAGAGCCTGGAGCAGGAAACCCGCATTTCCACGTTTCGCGTGCAGCCTCCTGCTCGTAAGTCTGCACCGAATCAATATGATCGGCGAGCTGGAGTTGCAGCTAGTGTGGACCAGCGGCTTGGGCCTGGGTGCTGATACGGTGGGGGCATGGGTTAAGGAATGTGCCCAGGATGCTTCAGACCCTGGATGATTCCTTAGCCGAGAGGGCGGTGGCGATACCCCTGGCCGATACACGATTGGAGTTCCACTGGCTTCCAGACCCTGGATTTCTTATCCAGAGGTTCCTCATCCAATGCCCACACCGTAGTGTGGAGCGGCGGCTGGGGCCTGGGTGCTGACCAGGACCCAAAGGCCACGCCGGACGCAGCCGGCACTCCTGTCGAGGAAAAGGATGGCCCATATGGTTTGCGAGGGAAGTTCCAGAGGCCGCAGGACTCTTACCTGGCAGCCTGCTCGAAGAAGCCTCGGATCGCAGGGGTGTCTCAACCTGGTGGTGATTGCTGCCTCTTGGCTCACCTTGGTCAGATCACTGCAGCGATCCCCCATGCACAGAGGCCCGATGGCTCACGGCAGTGCAGTCTCTCTCTTTCTCCGGGGCGGCCTCCTCGTCGGCTTCGAGCTCGGCAACTACTTGGCCCAGGGCCGCGGCTACCGGGAGTACTGCGGCGACTGCCACGGGGGCGGCTCGCTTCCACTCGTCGGCTCGCGCGGCGGGGGGCCGCGGGCGGCGGGGCCCAGGGCCCACCCCTGCGGAGCCGCAGGTGCGCGGGGTGGAGTGCTCTGCCATCGGTGTCGGCCGCCTTCGTGGTCCAGGGGCTGCGGCCCCTGGGTGTATTTTTTGGCGACGTCTGCGGTGGCGGCAGCTTATCATAGGTCGGCTTGCGCGGCGCCGGCCGCGGTCGACGGGGTCGGAGGCCTTCCCCGCGGACCCGCGGGCACGCGGGACGAGGACTTCCACGTCGGGTTCGGCATCTTCTCGGGCAAGGCCTGTGGCTACTGGGGTACTTCAACGACTCCCACGGCGGCGGCAGTCTCCCATGCGTCGGTTGGCTCGGCCGAGGCCGCGGCCGACGGGGTCGGGGGCCCTCCTCGTGGACTCGCCAGGGCACCAGAGCAATCGTCTAATTTCCCCCCCTTGGCCAGGAGGGTCAAGTCAGGTCCTGCGCGCCCATGCGTTCACGTGGAGGAGGATGTTGATGTCTCTGAAGGGCAGGAGTGCGAGGACCTGCTCTGCGGTGTTCAATCGGCGCCCCCTTGCCCCCACTGTCCCCCCATCGCGGCGTCGGAAGCCAACGTGGTCTGGAGCGGCCTGTTCCACTTCGGGTTTCGACGTCAGGGTCTAGGCCGGGGGATTCTGGGCAAACGCGCATGCGAGCGCAAATTAAACATGATCTGAAGGGGGCCATCGCGACCGCGTGCGCCACCGGCGCCGAGCCTTTCTGCGATCGTTTGCTGCCGAGCATCGCGGCGCCATCTTGCTGGCGCTAGAATTGCGCATGGTCGAGGAGCGTTTGGGTGGGTTGCAGAACCGAGCGCGCGACTCTGGCTGGCATGGGCGGCGGGCTCCGTCTCCCGCCGCGGGCGATGTCATTGCGTTCATTTTCGGCGGCATAGCAGTCTTTGTGCCGAACGGCATGATGGTCGCTGCCCCGTCCGACGATGGGCGCGCGATCTATCCTGGACGAGCGATGGCTGCGCATTTCAGTTAAGGGGCGACTGGTGGCATCGTTGCGGTTCGCGTCTATTCTTCCACCTCCATTGGCATCGCCCGCGGGACTATCTCCGTTCAGTGGGGACTGGCTCAACGAGTTGCGGCGTGGAGCTCCCTTGGCCTTGGTTGGGTTTTGGGCGGTGACTGGAGCGCTGGTGCCGACGCCTTGAACGTTCGCCATTGGGTTAAGACCACGACAGGGGCCCATGGCGATCCCGACGAGCACGCACGCGTCACAAACGAACGCAATATTTTCATATGTTAATTCGTTTGTTGCAGCCAATATTGCTTCTCGGGCGCGCGGTAATCCAGCAGTTGCTTATGGGTGCGACGCGGTCCCCCCGCCGCGTTTTCCTTGTCCTGTCCAGCTGCAACTCGTGGGCGAAGATAGGCCCGCTGGGTTTCGGATCCCGGCCGAGCCGCGCCTCTGCGCAGCTCTGCCCCCTGCCGGCCGTGCTCGACGCCCGCGTCCATTCGCTAACCTGCGGCCCCAATGCGAGCAGATTAGCAGCCCCGGGGCCTCCAATCTTTGAGATCCGGTGATGCGCAGGGTTGACTCGGAGCAGCAGCTGGCCAGGCTTCCTGACCGTGTAGGGGCCGAGGCCCTTCCGCGCGTCGGGCGCGACAGCCCCCTTCAGTTCAAATGGCGGGTTTAGGCTTTGGGCCCCGCCTCGACGCCGCGCGCGCACGGGGCCGAGAGCGCCGGCTCGGGCCGCGGTCAATCGCTGGGGCCTGCGCCTGCAGTCTGGGCGCAGACGGCTCGTCAGGCGCGTCGAACGTCTCGGAGTGCGCGTCCAGAGGCGGGCGTCGCCAATGCGAGCCACCTGCGCCGCCGCGTGGCGGGGGCGAGGCGGGCGGCGCATCCGCGAGCGACGAGGCGACTGGCCCACGGAGGAGCTCTCGCCCGCTTGCAGGAGGCCGGCAGCGCGAAGGGGCCGCGCCAGAAGGTGCCGCGCCTCGTTCCGCGAGCAGCCTGCGGGCGCGCGGGCGAGGCGGACCAGCGCGCGCGCCCCGTGGGTTCCTGGGGCGAGCTGCCCAGGACATGCGCCGTTCAGCTCGGCCGAAGTCCCGGCCCCGCCGAGCCCGCGTCGAACGCGCGCCGCGACCCGGCACCTGCTGAATGGCTGGGCGGGGCGAGCAACGCGCTGCCATCTGTCAGTGAGCGCAACTCGCGCATCGGCCGCATTATCAGCGCGGGCAAGCACTCGGGGGGTGCTCGTGGGAGAGGGGGGGGGGGCAGCATTTTCGGCGAGGGCGCGCGGGGCGTCGAGCTCCGCTGCTTGCTGCTGACTCGGAATCAATCACGATCGGCCATGCTCGGCCCTGTTCGGGCGACCCATATCACTTACTTAGAGACAGCCAGGGACTTCGCGCGC